ATAATGATAATGATAATGATAATAATAAAGTTGGAAGGGACCTTGGAGGTCATCAAGTCCAACCCCCTGCTCAGGCAGGTAACTCTATACCATTTCAGACAAATGGCTGTCCAGTTTCTTCTTAAAAACTTCCAGTGCTGGAGCATTCACCGCTTCTGGAGGCAGGTTGTTCCACTGGCTAATTGTTCTAACTGCCAGGAAGTTTCTCCTTAGTTCTAGTTTCCATCCATTGCTTTTTGTCCTGCCTTCAGGCGCTTTGGAGAATAGCTTGACTCCCTCTTCTTTGTGGCAGCCCCTGAGATATTGGAACACTGCTATCATGTCCCCCCTCATCCTTCTCTTCATTAAAGTAGACATACCCAATTCCAGCAACCGTTCCTTATATGTTTTAGCCTCCAGTCCCCTAATCATCTTTGTTGTTCTTCTCTGTACTCTTTCTAGAGTCTCAACACCTTTTTTACATCACAGTGACTAAAACTGGATGCAGTATTCCAAGTGTGGCCTTACCAAGGCATTGTAAAGTGGTATTAATACTTCACGTGATCTTGATTCTATCCCTCTGTTAATGCAGCCTAGCACTGTGTTGGCTTTTTTGGCAGCTGCAGCACACTGCTGGCTCATATTTAAGTGATTGTCCACTAGGACTTACAAATATAATGTATCCCTTTTTTGAAGTATCAGTCTGTTCTACACCACATCCAAGATCTCATATTGTAATTGTGGAGAAGCTGGGAAAGGAACGGGAGAATTAGGAATGAATGAATGAGCTGATGGGTTATGTAAGGGATTTCAAAACTTGGCAACTTTAAGGCGTGTGGACTTTAACTCCCAGAATTCCTCAGCCAGCCATGCCGGCTAGGGGATTCTGGGAGTTGAAGTCCACATGTCTTAAAGTTACCAAATTTAGAGACCTCTGGCTTATGTTGTAAATAGCCACTCAGCCCAGCCAGGGAGATATTTGGAAATTTCTTGAAGTATTCCAAAAGCTGCACTATAAATGAAGATTCTTTGGTAACTTGAACAGTGTTCTTGTAGCTTCCAAGATTCTGTATTTAATCCCGATAAATGTTAAAGGGACTTCACCTAAATCTAAGTAATTCTTGCTTTTTTGGTCTTGCCTTATGTCTTTGTCTTATGTGGTACTTGACAGGTGAATATTATTACTAGACAGTTCTTTATTGCTTTCCACAGGTGTGGCAAGAAGACGGGACCAATGCTACTATACTCTGGGCATGTTCAGTGGAGCACTGTGAGTGTCTTGTGTTTGAAGACTAGGAATACTACTTAGAAACCCACCACATCAAAAAGCTAGGGTAGCAGTTACATAGAAAATGATNGGCAGCCCCTGAGATATTGGAACACTGCTATCATGTCCCCCGTCATCCTTCTCTTCATTAAACTAGACATACTCAATTCCAGCAGCCGTTCCTTATATGCTTTAGCCTCCAGTCCCCTAATCATCTTTGTTGCTCTTCTCTGTACTCTTTCTAGAGTCTCAACATATTGTGGTGACCAAAACTGGATGCAGTATTCCAAGTGTGGCCTTACTTAAATTCATGAGATCTCTGGCTGAGATTAATCTTTTTTTTTGTTGTTTTGCTTTTCTCCTAGATGTCACAGGAGGTCAGCGATACTTACTGTTTCGGGAGACTCAGGATTCTCAGGGGAATTCCGTAGTGCAAATTATGGAGCAAGGCACCTGGGTGTCCACTGCTCAGATCTCCAACACAGTAAGGTCTTTCTCCAGCCTTTGTCCTCCTCCTTCTGTGAGTCTGACCCTTACTGCAGTGGGCAATCCCATGCTCCTTTCATTTTTTTTCTCACTTTCCTTCTTTACAGAGAAGCAAAAGACTGGAGGAAGACCTGAGGAACAGTATGGAGTTAGGAAAGTGCATGCAGGTGAGTACCAAAACAAGAGCTGGAAGCCAAGGGAATGGAATGCTATGACCCAGAAAGAGGAAATGAACAGGAAAAGGGACATACTTGCTTTTATATAATGCAGGGGTCCTCAAACCTGGCAACTTTAAGACTTGTGGACTTCAACTCCCAGAATTCCCCAGCCAGCATGGCTGGCTGGGGAATTCTGGGAGTTGAAGTCCACAAGTCTTAAAGTCGCCAAGTTTGAGGACCCCTGATATAATGCATTCCAATAAATCCTTGGTGGGTGAATAGAGGTCTCCAGATGGATTCTCCATCAAAACAGAAGGCATACAACACATTGGCACTCATGTTCAGCCATTTGGTGAAGTGGCAGCCCTAGTGATGTGCCTGACCACTGAAAAAGATGTTAGAAAGAATATCTCAAGGAACAGCAGCTGAGATATTTCACCTGCCTATTTTTTAATACTGGTGGACGCTACAATGGGCAAATCAGCTCAACTTCCTCTGTCTGGATGTCAATGATTAAACCAATACTTTTATAAGAGAAGCTGAGCCTGCTGCCAAATATTGCTGCTCTATCTTTCCATGTTGACTTGTGATGGTGGTCCTCCTACTAGAGAAGTCTCTTTAAACCAAGAATAGGGACTCTTTTGCTGGGCTGACTAGGACTTCCTTCACGGTGGAGTCCACTATCCACCTTTCCCTCATTCTTTTTCTGTCCCTCCTCCTGTCATCTTTACATATTGCATGCATTAAATCAAGGGAAGTGTAAGAGGTTTGAAATAACCATGTTGATTGTCCTAAGAACACCACAGCCAATGTGAAGAAAAGCTGTATCAGGTATGCCTACAAAGTCTCCTGTTTTCCTGTCTTATTTTGGGAGTGCTTGAAGATTTCTTTCAAATATCTCTTGTCCGTGTTTTTGAGATGCTATAATTATACTGGAAGGAGTAGAACAGGCTACTGCTGGTATTGTCTTCTGGATCGCATCCTTTGTGGCGGTTCCCACTTCTAACTCTGAAAAAGGCCAATGGAAAAGAGTTTTCTTAGGATTTGAATGGAAGCTTGTGAAATCATAAAAGCTCATGCAATCAAAGACAGGACCTTCAGATATACTTTAGCCATTTCCTAATGAAATGGAAGCAAAATCCAATCCATAAAATCCAACCGATTTCCTTAAAACTTAATAATAATGATAATGATAATGATAATAATAAAGTTGGAAGGGACCTTGGAGGTCATCAAGTCCAACCCCCTGCTCAGGCAGGTAACTCTATACCATTTCAGACAAATGGCTGTCCAGTTTCTTCTTAAAAACTTCCAGTGCTGGAGCATTCACCGCTTCTGGAGGCAGGTTGTTCCACTGGCTAATTGTTCTAACTGCCAGG